AAGCAGAGCAGGAGGGTGCGGTCGGCTACGTTGTCGCCCTGTTGAGCGCGACGCTGGCTGGGTGGTTCGGGCGGGTGACAGGACGCCCCCGCCGCGCCAAGGACGAGGAGGAGGACCAGTACAGACCCAAATTGCATCAACGGTATTGCAATACACCCTCCCTCCAAACTCCCGTTCTTCAGGCCCTATGATAGTGTATATTCCAGTCGAACGGTATTTTCCCAACCAGCGCAGCATTCTGGTTAGCTCTCATGCAGTTGTTCAGCACATGCGTCGCAGCCAGCCTGGTCTGTAAGGATTTGAGGCTCGAGTCAGCGAATCGATCTAGCAATTACACGTACTGGAAGATCTGTCCCACATCCCATTCCTATTCTCAGCTTTGGTGTGGGAGTGGGGGACTAAGATCTTGCGGTTCTGTGACGCTATCGCTCGCTTTCGTGCGATCGCCATTGTGCAGCCACTCCGCGGAGAAACATGTCGGCATCACCGCTGACTGCAGCTGCCCCTCCTGGAACGGTCTACGGCAACACCAGCCTGAAGGTACCTCCAAGATCGGCCCTGGGAGCGGCGTCCACGTACAATTTCCGCAAGTGGGTACACGATGTGGTGCTGCGGCCTAGGGTCACGGATACCCCGATCAATCAACATACGCCGGCGGTCGTGCTCCATCCAGCAGACGGGCACCGTCCGCGATCTCTTCTGGGCTATCGATGTCAACGTTTTGGCCGACGGTGGCCCTGTCGACATGATGGACGGTTGTGGCCTTGTCATGCGGACAGGTCTGATTATTGTGTTATAAGTGATGTGCTGGACGTTCCTGCCGCTCGGTTGCGAGCAGAAAGTACTGGCAGCACAGGCGTATCTTGGCTTCTGGCGTATGAAACGATCGACGCTGCGCTGTGCCGCTGCACCAGGACCCAGTACAGGGCGAACGAGGAAACGAACTGAGACCATGGACCGACAGGCACGGCATACGATTTGTTGCGGGCACTGCACGTGTCTCCGCAGATGTGGACACTGCTGCTGCAGCCGTTCGGCGGCAACATGCGCACGCCATAATAGGAACTCATCCAGATAGAAAAACATCTCCGCCGCCAAAGCCACGGGGCCGCTTGCTGAAGGGCGTGGTGAACAAATCACTCCAGCAGGGAGGGCGTTCACTTCGCGGACGGAGGTCTGGGGGGTTTCCTCGTCGACCCAGGGGGGCCGTGCCCCGTCCGTCCCCTAAGGGGCCACGGCCTCCGGCGGGTACTTTCCAAGTTCTGCCGCGGCCGCTCCAGCCATGGCCAGATCAGGTACTGGCTGGCTAGAACCGTACCCAGGCATGGAGTGCGAGGCTTGCGGCATGTGCGTATATGACGAATGCGACGACGGATCGTCGAGCGCCACCCCAGAGGAAGGGCCGCCGCGAGACCGCGAACAGCAGCACTACAGCAACCATGATGCCAATGAGCTTCACCAAGGCTACCAGCACGTGATGGTGAACAGACAGATGCAGCAGTTCTCACACTCGTGGGGAATGATTGGCCAGCCAGCCGCGCCTGCGGGCCAAATGCAGCAGCCACTCCAGTTGCATGACAAGGACCCAGCCGACGCCGAGCTCCCGCGCGAGAGCGTGTGCGGCCGCGTCAAGAAGTACAGCCACAAGGAGCGCTTGGGCATCATTGCCCCAAGCGGCGGCGGCAAGGTCATCTTCACCCACGCGTCGAATGTCACGGGCCCCTTGCTCTCCGCAGGCGCGGAGGTGACCTGCGAGGTGGACTGCGGCGACAGGCGCTGGAGGCCGCGGGCCGTGGCCTGCAAGCAGGACAGAGGATGAGGACTCTTGTGTCCGTGAGGATCCCTGGGGGGCTCGGCAGTGGCCGTGCCGCAGCCGCAGCCAACGGTGTGCCTGGCGATGGTCGGTAATTTCGCTATTCCTCCTTGCAGCCCTGGTGCAGCTGGATTGGCCCCAGCCTTTGAGCCTGGAGCTCGCCGGCCAGCTGGATCGGCACCGGCGCCAAGTGGAATGTCCGGATCGGCTGCAGCAGCCGCGCCATGTGTGTCTCAACATCGTAACCTGTCATCCATCATTCAGCATCTGTCATCCATCACTCCTCCTCCACCTCTGGGCCCTTGCGGGCTTATCTGTCTGGGCCCAGCGTCCTTGCACCTGTGCCTGCGCGAAGCGACCGCCGGGTCCGAAACGGCAGTGGGTGCGAAGAGGAGTGAGATGACCTTTGGCGGCGGGACTGGCGAGAAGACGCCTGGCGGCGGGGCCCGTGGGAGTGCGCCTGGCGGCGCGACCGCGGCGCGGAGAGATGGAAATGGCCAGGCTGCTGGAGCGGGGCCGGCACCGGGCGCCCTTGCGCCTTCGAGTGACGTCCGCCGGCGCCTTCTTCTCCAGCCGCGCTGTCTATATTGTGGCAGCGCCCTGGGTCGGTGCCAGGGCCGCGGCTTGACCGTCGGTCTGGACTGGCCTCGGCTGGTGTAGGTTCTGGCCAGTACCAGGTATAGGCCGGCCTGGATTGGTACCAGGTGGTGTAGGTCAGCCTGGGTGGGTTCCAGGTGCAGGCCTAGGTCAGCCTGGATTGGCGCCAGTTCTGTCGTTCGCTGGTTCTCCAGCTCGTGGTGCGGGGTTCGCGGCGCAGCCGCAACTGCAGTATGAGCAACGCCATGGGCGACGAACGTCCCGTTTTCGTGGCGATCAGGAGCACATCGCGCAGCAGATGCACGCCGTCAGCAACGTCTTACGGCCGCGAGCACCTGAACTTCACGACCCGTGGTGCCCTCGGATGGTTGAGCTTGACGTCGACATGGGCGGTCGTTGCGGTGCTGAGCATCGGCGCTCGAGGGCCCGCCTGAAGGGGGAGGGCCGCGAGGGCCTCCTCATCGACCTGGGCGTCCACGACAGCCTGACTGGAGATGCGTGGGCCCGACGCGCCCAGGTCGCCCGCATGGGGCGCGACGTGGCCGTCGAGGAGATGAACGTGGGCCATTCCTTGAATGTGAAAGGGTAGGGGGTGGGTCTCAGGAGTGCGCTATGAAGGCTTTGGTGCTTATGATCTCTAGGCAAGCGACGCTGGCGCGTGCCGGGGCCCGGTGATTCCCAACTCCAGACGTCCCGGCGCTATTGGGTAGCGAAGTTTTTGAGCGACGACGATCACTGTTCGACGCTTTCAACTGCAATCTCTGCTTTGTGGGGCTGGGCGCCAACGAGATGAAGCTGCCCCCGGGCGGCGGCCTTGCCCTCGACTTGCAGGCGACGGAGAGCGGGCGCGTACCTTTGCCGGTCGCGGCGTTCGACTCGATCTCGAAACCCGCATCGAAGCGCGCGGAGCACTGGCAGCAGCAGGAGTCGACGGGTCAGTTTCCCGTAGTGCAGGGGGAGCAACTGACGACATCATCGACGGCGCTGCGCGCTGGCATCTCGGCCGCCCCTGCGTGCTCAGGCAATGCTGCTGGAGTTCCGCGCCGGGCCGAAGGCTGGGCGCGAGCAATCAGGCTCGAGGTGGCGACGCCCGCGATATCCCGACTCTGTGCATGCTGAGGTCTTCCAGCGATGCTGAGCCGGCCGTCGCTCGGCGCGGGGCTGGCAGATGCTCCCGAGGCCTCGGTGCCGAGTGCCCGTGCAGGGCCGGGGGCGGGGCCGAGGCCCTCGCAGGCAGCTCAGAACAGTTGCAAGCAGGATATCGACGCCACGATGGGCGCGCCAAGACCAAGCCCGCGACGGGTTTCAAGAATTGGACATCACATCCAGATGTGCGTTTGCACTCATCTGCATCCTAATCTTATCTCATGCATTTCTGCGACGAAAACGGCATTCGCGCGAGCGCCCTGCCCGGCGAACGCCTGCGCGCGCACCGTGTGCAGATGCGCGGGAGCTGCAGTCGCGATCGTTTCAGATACCAGCTCATGGACATCCGCAGCCAAGAGCCATATTTGCTCTGGATGCGGCTCGCGGGGTGGGAGACACCACGTGGATAGTTACATGGGGAGCGACGAGGCCGATCGATGCTGGCGCTAGTCAACGCGCAGTTGGATCAAGGGTGGCGCCGACTCGCTAGGCGTTCCCGGCAGACGATCGCGATGTCTGGTCACCATGTGCAGTATATGGATGCGCCCCGCGTCGACAAGGACGAGTATGATATTGTGGACATGGTTGGCCCGACGTGGTGCTCCTCGGCAGTCCTAATTCCCGCGCTCGGGCCCCAGACGCAGCTCGTGCTCACGGGCTTCCCCGCGCAGCAAGGCGACAATGATCGCGCGGGCGTTGTGAAGTTCCAGGGCGGCGAGGGTCGCGCTGCCCAGTGCTTGGTTCGTCGCAGGTTTCGGCGTGGTTTTCGTGCAGGGGCGAACCTAGATCTGGTGGCGAACTGCGACTTGACGAACGGCGGCGACGACGACGGCGTAACTACTATGTGGGATTATATACTCGCGGTGAAACCGTTGGGCATCGTTAGTGCAGCGCCGCGGAGGATCTGCCGGGAGCTCGGCCAGTAGCTCTTGACGCGCCGACATTTCATCCGAGAGCATCTTCTCGGAGATGGCCTTCACTGGATGTTTCCATGGCCTGATGTGGCGGCTCATCCTGCCGTGGTGCGTTGGCCAACGCATCATTGCATGATTGGATTGCGGCATCGACGAACCCCGCGCCACCTGATCCAGAGTCCAACCGAGTTTGCAGCCAGCGACGAGCGGCTGATCAAGCGCCTTCGGCAACTGCAATGCAGCGGGGGCCACGGGCACGTCACTGCTACAGATGGCTCTCCAGGTGCTACCCAGATCTGGGCGTGGATGTTGGCTTCTCCCATCGCCGCAGGCGTGTCTGACGTGATCAGGGACGCCTTCGTCGACGCCGTTGCTCGTCGTTACCTGGCATCGTCCGGCGGCTCGCTCGTTTGGGAGCGCGCCTGGCGTTGCTTGCGCTTCAGGGGCAGATGGGGAGAATGTGAGCAAGCTGGGCCCGAGGCACGCTCGTGTCCGTGGGATCTGCCCGTTGGCCGACGTAGCCCCTTGAGGTGCCCAGTGCCCAGGCTGCGCGGCCGGTCGACCTCGCCATCGTGAGTCCCATCTTCTGGGCGATCGTTGCCAGTGGAGTGGGGCGCCAGATCGCCGCGGCACTCCGCGACGCGGTGCACATCTTCCTGGCGGTCGTGTGCGAGCCAGCGAAGATCCCGCGTCCACGATGAAGGTGGCGCCGAAGTTTGGAGCTGAGGAGGCCCGAGGGCGTGCTCGACGCCAAGATCATAGGGAGGGTCAAGCAGTTCGACGGGGCCAGAAGCAGCTGGTCAACTTGGGAGTTTCACTGGAGAGCTTACATGGTGGCCAATGGCAAGCGCTACAGGGAGTTCTTCGACAAGCTAGATGAGAAGAACCTAGAGCATCTCGGCGATGCCAAGAATTCCACCATGAGTGTCGACGACGTGGGCTGGGAAGACCTCTCGACACAGCTCTACTACATGCTAGTGCTGGCGGTGCCAGAAGACTCTGCAGGAGAGACCATCATGCGCAACGTGTTGCACGGTGAAGGTGGTCAAGCATGGGTGCGCCTGAAGGCCGAGTATGCGCCCAACGAGCCTGGCAATGTGGTCGCGCGCATGAGGCAGCTGATGTCCACGCAGTTTCCGACGAACGCGGACGTGGCCGACGGGATAGAGAAGCTGGACCTCGAGATCAGCAAGTACGAGAGGGCGGCCGACAAGCAGGTGAGCGACAACATCAAGAAGGGGATCCTGCTCGGCACGCTGCAGAGAGAGAGAGAGAGAGAGAGAGAGAGCGACTTGCGTAAGCACGTCTTCCACAACCTTCGCAACCTCGCCGCTTACCTCGAGGTGAAGAATGAGGTCCTGAGCGCCCTGAAGGCCCAGCGTAGCTTCGGTGACGACCCGATGGAGATCAACGCGTTGAAAGGGAAGTCGAAGGGGAAAGGACATGGCAAGGGCGACCAGGGCAAAGACAAGGGCAATGACAGGTTCGAGCCGAAGGCGAAGGACAACCCGAACCACCCGAGGAAGTGGTGCAGTCACTGCGAGAAGCCGAATCACGTCAAGGACGACTGCCGCAAGTTCACGCGCGAGGCGGAAGCCAAGGCCGAGGCAAAGAAGAAGGCCAAGGACGAGAAGAAGCAGCGGAGAGCCACGACGGCAGCACTTGCCGCAGCGGGAGCTCAGGGGCCTCACGGAGCTCATCATCAGCAGGGCCCGAGTACCAACCCGAGTTCGCGGACGTTGACGCCCAACACAGTGTCCGCGATGACGCAGCTGACGGGGCCAGGCTCCTCGGGAGCAACGTCGACGGCGAGCACGCCACCCGCGACGCCGCTAGGGATGCGGGGGAGCGGTCTCTTCGCAGATCAGGACACGTTCCGGCCGAAGTACATCTTTGCCCTGTCGGTGGAGATGTCGGAGCAGAGGTCGAGGTCCGCGGAGCGCGCGCGCTCGGGGGGCAGAGATGACGGAGACAGTGTTCGTGCCGCGGCCGCTCGTGGAGTCCAAGGGATCATGATCGACTCTGGAGCTCAGGTCACCGCGTTCCCCTACAAGATGCTGAAGGACAATGGCTACGAGCTCGCCAGCTCGCGCATCTCCAAGCTGCAGGCCATCGACGGCACGCGGGTTCAGCACTACGGCAGGACGGACGTCCGACTCAAGACGGGTCAGGACGTGATCCAGATCTCGGCGGAGGCCGCCGACGTTGAGTTCCCCGTGATGTCTGCCGACGCGATCACCAAGCAGGGCAAGTCGGCCATCCACTCCCCCTTGGGCGACTGGGGTGTAGACAGCCCGATCTCACCTCCGACGGCATCGTGCTCGATCAAGCTGACGGCGGATCGAGGCGCGTGCTACTTGGAGGACGACGAGATGCTGGACAGCGGGGCCACAGGCAAACGTGCGGTGCGCATGGCGGCCATTGCCGAGCCAGACTACATCGAGGAGGTCGGCGACGAGGAGCTAGGCGGGCAGCTGTACATCGGTGCGACGCGCAAGACCCTGCCAGCGCAGGTGCCAGACACGCAGGACCGACAGCAGCTACCGACGGCGCTTGGACCAGACCCCAGCGAGAACGTCACCCTGAAGGCGAAGGAACTCTCCAGGCCAGGACAACCCTCGGCGGAGGAGAGGGGAGCTCACGTAGCACATCATCTTCCGTTCAGGTCATGGTGCAGCGAGTGCGTCATGGGCCGCGGGAAGGACGCCCCCCCACGAGACGAGCTCATATCAGAAGAAGGAGGGCGAGTGCCCCGTTGTGGAGATGGACTTTTTTCATCGTGGCTACAGACGAGATCGCCAGGAAGTACCCCATGATGAATGGCTACGTCGTCAAGGTTGTGGACTTTCATAAGCTAGAGCAGAAGGGGCGGGGAGAGATGCCCGCGATCCTGAACGTCGCGGACTGCAGGTCCAACGCGTCTGCCGCGCTGTTCGGCTCCAAGCAGATGGGCGACTACAAGGCGCACTACGTCGCCAAGCTCATCGACAGCTGGGGCCGCACGGCTGTGATTCTGCTCACGGATGGCGAGGGCGCAATCGTTGCCGTGGCGGAGCAGGTGAAGAAGCTCAGGTCGCACTCCACGGTGGTGCGGCAAGGCCCAGCGTACTCATCCAAGAGGATGGGGCGCGTCGAGGCCAGGAATGGGGCAGCTGCGGGACTACTTCGCACGCTGCGGTTTTCCCTCGAGACCAAGCTAGGTTGCAAGCTCGAGCTCGCGGACTCCATCCTCGCCTTCCTGGCCAACGCGGTCGGCTGGTACATCGCGAGGTTCCGGCCGAGGAGCCGCGGAGGGTCCAGCTACAAGTACCTCTTCGGACGAGAGTATACTGGCGAGGTCGCGGAGGTCGGCGAGCAGGTATGGCGCCGCATCGCGTCCCGCGTTGCAGCGGGCCAGGGCAAATTCGAGGCGCGCTTCGCCAAGGGCATCTGGGTCGGCAAGTCGGAGTTTGACGACAGGACCTGGTGGTGGACCTGCAGCGGGGCCTCCTGAAGGTGCGCGCAGTCCGCCGCATGCCCGAGGTGTTCCGCTGGAACGCGGAGCTTGTCAAGCAGATCGACGTCGCACCCTTGGCCCCAGTACCGGAGAGAGTGAAGTCGACTATCAGGAAGTCTATGTATATCACCGAGAACATGCTGAACACCTATGGCCCGACGGACAACTGCCCCAAGTGCTCCGACGGAAAGGGCCAGCACAGTGACCAGTGCAGGCAGCGCTTCGAGACGATCGCGCAGGAGAGGCTGGAGGCGAAGCTCTTGGAGGAGACCAAGGGCGGAGTGGCACCCGGAACCCCAGCTCCACAGCAAGGGCCTGTTCAATCCAGAGCAGCCGCAGACGGAGCCACAGGGCAGCCGTTGGCGCAGGGCAGCTTTCCAGCATCGGCCGCAGCTCCTACCTCGCCCACACCTGCGGCCGCATCCGCTACACAAGGGATGGACATCTGTAAGTCTGGAGCGTCCGCGCGGGAGCCTGTCCAGGAGATCAGCGAGCCGAACAAGCGACAGCGGATCGGCACCCTGGCGAAGGCACCCGAGGTGGTGGTCCTCGCAGGCCTCTCGGTCTGTGAGCTGGCAGTCTACGAGGAGGGCGATGACCAGGAGGAGGACCCGCCTTGGGACATGATCCCGAAGGCTGCTGAGCGGTGTGACGGCCTGTGCGAGGGCCATGTGGGGCGCTGCGCTTGCCGATGCGATCGCGACGGAGAGTGTGCGTGCAGGGGGTGGCTCATCGGAGCTGCCAAGAAGCTCAACCCTGACGCGGAGGTCGTGGCTAGCCTGTGCGCGCTGTGGTCGAGACGTCGTACATCTGAACAGTGCGACTGGGGTCAGGAGCCCGAGCCTGCCGCGAAGATCCACTACGATTACTACACTGGAGAGTCCCTCGACGAAGTCAAGTGCCAGAGGGGCAAGGCAGATGAACTCCAGGCCCTGGCCGAATACGGCGTGTATCGCAAGATCCGCGTCGCCGACTGCGTGCCTGGAGGCAAGCATGTGGGAGGATTTCCTATTGCTCATGAGAAGGCTGGCGAGGTGCGTTGGCGCTTCGTGGCGACCGAGGTGGCCCATCAGCATCGAGAGGACAACCGCCAAGGCACCCCGCCGCTGGCGATGATCAGATCGATCCTGAGCTTAGCCGCCAGCAAGCCAGACAAGGACGGGGAGCACAGACGGTGCATCCGCATCTGGGATGTCCGCGAGGCGTTCTTCAACAGCGACCTGCGCGAGAAGATCTACGTTCACCCAGGGAGCGAGCTCTGCGAGCGAGGCTACTGCTGGGAGTTGCTCAAGGCGCTGTACGGGACCCGCCTGGCTAGCAGCCAGTTGTGGGGTGAGAACGTGAGGGCTACCTCGGGCGACGCAGGAGGCAAGGCTTTGAAGGGTGCGCCAGGCATGTTCTACTTCGCCAACCTCTGCGGCGACGGCAACGACGCTACGATGGGAGTGTATGGCGACGACTTCATCGCAGAGGGCCACATCGCGACGCTGGACCAATTGGACGCAGTCTTGAGCACGGTGTACGAGATCACTTCATCTCCTCCACTCGGTCCTGGACATCCTGGAGTGGCCCGCCACCTCAAGCGCAGCTGTGGCTACGTCGACCAACTGCCCGAGACACTCCTTCCAGGCTTCTTCTGGCATGCCGACCCGAAGCACGTTTCGGAGATCATCAAGTTCGGTTCCAAGGAGGGCGCGAAGATGGTCGACGCGCCTGGCACCAAGGCGGTAGGAGCTCAGCTACGCAACGCACTGGACCTCATGCCCACGGCGGGGGGACGCAAGACGGCATCAGCAGGAGGATTGACACTTTACTTGGCAGCAGATCGGCCCGATATCATGTTCTCAAGTAGGACCATCATGCAAGACGTGAGCAACCCGAGCTACCAGATGAACGCGAGGCTCATGAGGTTAGCACGCTACTTAGAGGGCCATCAGGTTCTGGTCTGGTGCTACGAGCTGCAGGAGCTTCCGAAGACCCTAAGAGCTGATGGGGATGCCGACTGGGCTGCTCCAACATCCGTGGCGCGGAAGAGTACATTTGGTGGAGTGATCAGGTTTGGCAACCGCACCTTGGAGTGTTACTCGGCCAGCCAGGCCACTCAGGCCTTGAGCAGTGGCGAGTCGGAGTTCTACGCCCTGGGGTCGGTCGCGGCTCGAGGCTTGCAGATGAAGTTCTTCCTGGGCGAGATCGAGATCGAGGTGGGCCTGGTGGTGGCCTCGGACAGCACAGCCGCGCGAGGCATGGCTCAGAGGCATGGAGTGGGCAAAGTGCGCCACTTGGAGCTCCGATACTTCTGGGCGCAAGAACGGATCCGACTGCAGATGTTCAAACTCGCGAAGGAGGACACGCGCAAGAGGGTGGCGGACATCCTGACCAAGTATGTGGACAAGGACAGCATGGCGACTCACCTCCATGAGCTGAACCTGAGGATGACACGGACTCCGGTGATCGTCGCCACCCTGATGGTGAACGCTGGAATGACGAGGGCCGAGGATCAATGCGTGGCGAGTCTGGAGATCGAGAAGCAGACGCTGGAGCAGCCAGAGCCTTTTCCCGTGCTGCTGCTCAGCTTGGCAGTGGTGCTGTGCTCCATAGCTTACCTCACCGGCTGGCGCATGGGCAGGCGCAAGGCCGCCGCTCGGACAGTTGAGGAGGACCCAAGAGTGGCTATGATAGGCAGGATCTGGACACCGCATGGGGGGACGTTCCGAGCTGAAGGTGCGCCCGAGGTTCGATGGCAAGGTGCAGATCACGAGGGAGGTTCACCGCCTGTACGGTGCTTACACTGTTGATGAGCTGAGGGGGCTGCTAGGGAGGCGGGGCCTGGTGCTGAAGAGGGGCTACGCCAAGAAGGAGGAGCTCATCGAGAACGCCAGGGGCACCAGCCCGACGGAGATGCAGATTCTCACCCAGCTGACGATGGAGTTGAAAGACCACGGGATCGACGTGAAGTGGCGTGCTCGCATGTTTGCTCCACCGCGGAGGTCGTGGACCGCCTACGAGAGCTCCTCCGCTGATCACGAAGGAGCGGACCGTGGATGA